TTGTTAGCAACCAGATGGAGAGGAGTGCTAAGCAACCGAATGAAAGAGCGACAACTGTAACTGTGCTGAGTATGCGAAAAAGTGCGACGCCATTTTGAGACGACGCACAAAAGTATGCTATAATTGAATGTTTGTTTGTGCGTCATGCAACGCAGGTGTCTACACCCACCTACTCTCAACTGCATGTGTGTGTGTGTGTGTGTGTGGGTGGCTGTTTTTAGATGAGTGTGCGAAATGCTGGCAAATGTGGCTACACATATGCATGTCAGCAGACCATAATAATGCCAATAACATTCTATGTACTTTGAGTTTTCAATTTCAGCTTTTTGCCAGCAACAAACATAGATAGGGAGAGGGGTGGAGGGAGGGGAGAACACACTGCAGGAAGCGGATTATGCTGTGTATTGAGTTTTGAGCATGTGTCCGTGCTGGTTTGCGTTTTTACGTTCAACTCTACGCACCAAACAGCAAACCGAAAACAGCAAACAAAAGTTAACCAAATAAAAGGCAATTCAAATCGTTTTTGCCTGTTTCGGCTTAGTGATTTCTGCCAAAACACTTTTGCTGCCCCAACTGTGAATGCAACGCAAGTTCGGCAATCAGCAAAAACAAAAAACAAAAATGCCCATTTCACCATTGAGATGAAAATTGATAGCGAATGCTGAAACGGATTGCATCCAAGTCCAATGTGTGCCACTCTAATTAATGAAATAAGCTCCATTAATTGGCATTGACAGTGCCAACGATTTATAAACTATGCATTTTCAACAATTAGTACTGAATACTGCTTCAAATATGTGTGTTATTTGTTTAAATAGTGAAAGTAGTTCATAGCATCAGAATAAAAAAGGACGGATGGCCTGAAAACTATAGAAATGAATAAAAAGGGTAAAATGAAATTGTGAATTGTGAAAAATATACATACTTTTGAAGTAAACATTGGCAACCCTATAGCCTAGATATGTTATTGAACAGCATAGGGACATAGATATAGCTACAGCATTTTTCCATCTCTTGACTGCAGGCAGTGCAGATGTCGTTCTCGACTGGATCGGAACAGTAAACAATAAAACTGCAATAAGAAAAATCTCTCGAAAAATTAGTTAGTAGTTAGTAACCGGACCAAAGTCAACAAATATCCATTGTATTGTATTCCTCACGGACTACTATGTCATATAGTTTTCATATGAACAATAAGTTAGGCACGAATATTGCCTTGGAGATACATTAACGCTACCCATAAACATTCGCAGCTCAACTAACTTTATGCTTTCTTCTAAAGCCTAAGTTGGAAATGCGATAAGATAAGAAATAAAACCTGAAAAGCTGAACTAAGTTTATAATTGCAATGGTAAATATGGCAGGCAGAGAACAATCCCAAATGGAGCCTCTTAACTCACTGAATTAGATGATTCGTTCACATAACAACCGACGGGGTTTCACACACGAGCACACACACCCACTCAGACAATCAGACACACCCAATACACACATCCACATCTACATCCACACACACGCATACACAAAGCGGACTTTGAAGTGCACTTAGTTGCCAAAAAGTTAATAAAAATAAGTGCCTCTTAGCCGTTGCCAAGTGCCAGAGTCCGGCTAGCATATGAAGTGGCTGAAGCTCAGATTCGGACCCAGACCCGGAACCAGAAGTAAACCGAATCAAACCGAACCGAACCGAACCGAACCGCTCCCTACCAACGCAAGTAATTCAGATTTAGCTGGCAAATAGCTTTTGGCTGCAGAATGTTACCGACCGTTGTCAAGTTGAAGCACTTTTGGGCATAAGAAAAATACCACAGACTTGCAAATATAATGATAACAATAACCAAAGCAGCCAAGCAGAAATGTTGATAATAATTGTCATGCAGCACAAAAATCTGGCTAAAATATGCAATTTAATTCAAACAAATTGTGAGTCAAATAATCTATGATTGTAAATGAAATGGTGTGCAAATGTTAACAGTCATTTGAAATGAAAGAAAATGAAAGGAAATTTAACTTCGTGTCGAGCTGGAAAGTTGATCTTAAAGGTGATGCATGAATAACAATTTAAAAAGCTGTCAGCTTGTTTTAAGATTTTTAAAATATATTTTGTATTTTTAAAACGATGCCAGAGACCATTTAAATGTTTTCTTTGACAAACTAAAGTAAGTTGGAAGAAAGTTTAAGTATTCAATGCGGAACCAACTTGTCTAAGCCTCTTTTAATCAATTTTGAAAATTTCGAAGCGCTTTCCAAACGGACACACTTCAAAGTGCCTGTTATTTGAAACTTGTCATATCAAATCAGTCTGAGGAATGTCGCAGCTACGTGTGGCACCTATGCTGCTGCTGCTGCTGCTGCTGCTGCTGCTGGGGCACATGCGACACACGGCAAATTAAATAAACAGCTATTTGGCATGCATACAGTGGAATGTGCAATTACATTAGACGAATGTTTGCACTACATATATGTATCTACCACTAACCGGCGACATTTGCAGTCAACGGACGTTGAATTTCCATAGCACATCATTTCAAGCAGTTGTCGCGACACGTTGTACAATTTATCATATATGCTGTGTATATATATATAGATGTTGACATGCCAACTGTCATGGCTGCAGGTGCCGATGCCTGTCACTCACTCACTCAGCCCTCAGCCAAGATGAGCAGCATCAGCATCATCATCAGCAGCAGCAGCATGAGCAGCAGCAGCAGCAGGAGCAGCAGGACCAAAAGGCTCAGCACTTTTGCATTATGTGGCATTTTGTATTACATCTCGGAATTCACAGCTTACAGCTTACGGTTTACTTGCCACTTGTCACTTGTCATGCCGTTTTATTTGCCACATTGCAAGTTTTTTGGCCGTTTCGTGTTTTGCCAGCATTTCCTTATCCTCTGGCATTTGCAGGTTTTTTTTGTTTTTTTTTTTTTTTGCATACCCTGTGCTCAGCAAATAAAATGGGTGTATGGATGCTGAAGAGCAGAAAAAACATGGATATGGTGAATATTCCCAGTTTCCTCAACAAACTTTAGATCAATAAACAGAAATTATTTTGGAATATTTGGGGAACATTGCGGAAATTTAATTTGTTACCTTAATCTTGAGTACAACACTCAATTAAGGATCTGTCAACTCTCATCAAGAATGTGTTCTTAAAAATGGGCATAAGAAGAGCGCATTTGGACTCCAAGCTGAAGAATGAAACAACAAATACTTGATTACAAGTTTCTCATTCAAAAATAAACAAAATGAATGGTTATATATACATTATTATTTATTTTAATGATTAACCAATTCAATCTTGGCAACCTTGTTACAAACACTTAATGTTCATTGAAAGTAAGCCGAAACAGAATCTAAAAATAAAACTACATGCATGGCGGATAAACCCAAAAATATATATAAATTTATCAAGTAAGTTAATTCTAGAATTAACCAACTCAATGTAAGACTAAAATTTGGCAGTCCTATTAACTTTTTATTGCTGAAATCTATAGTAATATAAGGTTTTTTTTAGGTTTTGATTACAGGGCATGTCTAAGCTCGATCTTTGTTTTTATATTGTTGTGTGTACTTCATCAACAGTTTTGCCACGTCAACTAGCGGACAGGAGGTTGGAACTACGGGGGAGGGGGGAATTGAAGGAGTCGCTCAAGACGACACTTAATTATGTTTTCCACTGCAGCAGGACCAAGTTTTCTCTGTGCAAGAAAAATGGGTAGAAAATGTCAAAATGATTCGCGCGCTTGTTGAGAGAGCCTGCCTCATAAATTATTGAAATTGCTTGACTGTCATGGCCATAGTTGTTTGTTTTCCTCTATTGTGCTTTAGTTTCAGCACTTCTTTGGCCTCACTCAATTTGGGTGTGTGTTTTTATCTTTTCTTCGCTCGCTTTTTCTACATTCTGTTTGCCTTTTCATTTGGCAGCAGGTGCAATGTGGCAACCCCGTCTTTAACAACAGAACTAAGCAGGGCAGTCAAAAAAAAAAGAGGAAAAAAAATACTTTTCCACCTTTCGCAGCAGCAAGCAAAATGGGAAAAATTTTGTTTTTGTTTTTATTGCGGTTGGGTCCAAAACTATTGGCCAGTATGTTGTGCACTTTTTGGCCCGAAATGCCAGAAAGTTCGAGAATGGTGTTCTTATGACTGCAATAAAATTCATTTTGTTTTCACACAACATGCCAGTGTTTTTTCACCTGTCTGTGCGCAGTGTGTGTGGATATGTGTGTGCGTGTGTGTGTGTGTGTGTTTGCGTATGCCACTCAATAAATAACTAAACTAGCTAAAATAAACCCACCTGAAACTTGGATTCAGTTTGGCGAATGTTTTGAACTGATGCTGGCAGCAAGTCGAGTATACACGACAATTTGACAGCCAAGTTTCTGATGAGCTCCACAAAAGTTGAATGCCAAAAGGATTATTTAATTATAAAGCTTCACATGACATTTTCAAGAAAATCAAGTTTGTTCATAAGCTAAACACAAAATGGAAAATCATTTGTTATGGTCTATGCATATAGAATATATTAGCCTGTCGAACTGGAATTGCAACTTAAATTGAAATTTAGAACTGGTGACGCAAATGAATTTCTACATTTTAATTACGATTCCATTGAATCGCTATCATTCAAATAGTAAAATAATGGAACCAAAGACTGGAAAAAAATATTGAAGCAATTCATAATTTTAACCGGAACCTCGACACTTTAAACTGATCTTGAACTGAAATGTGATTTGATTTGACAATTTGGAATATATACAAAGTTTTGGCAAAGATTTGGAAGGCTATTCAATATTTGACTTTGATGGAACTTTAAAAGTCTATTCAAGATTATTACTAGGGGACTTCGTCAGATCTATTGCGGCGCCCTCTGAGCCAATATTTTGTGTTCTATTTCTATATTTCTATTCAGGGTAGTACAACGACATGGCTTATATATAGAAAGGCATTCCAAAAATATAGTTAGACAAACAAATGCAAATAAAACACAGTGAAGACAACTGTAAAGATTTCAACAATTTAACATAACTATGCAAATCGGGTTTTTAAATAATTTTGACTTGATATTGTGATAGATTTCAAACAGATATGGATCACTTAGAGTGCTTATCATAGGGCTTCTTTTGCTTGAGGCCATCGCCCGAATCTAAACGCGAATTCGTCGCATGTGGACGACTACTGCGATGACGCCGCACTTCTATCTCCACCAGCTGATGTTCTCGACGCGGACGCACACGATCCCCATCGCCATCACCATCCTTTGTGGCATGCGGCTGAGGAGTCCAATCGAAGACATGATCAAATTTGTGATTGAGCGAACGGAAGAGGATGCGAAACAATTGCCTCAAATAGACATAGTCTGGTTCATCGAGGAAGCGCAAGTTGCGCACGTATTTCATGAACAGGCCAAATTCAATGGGCCACGTCTTGCAGATGTCATCGATGCATATGCTCCGCTTTATTTCCATTAATTTTTCATATTTCTGCTTTTTGTTTGCAGCTGGTATGCCCTGCCAGGGCAATTTGCCCATATTGAAGTACATGATGCAATAGCTGAGCGATTCCAAATCATCGCGACGCGACTGCTCGATGCCCTGTTGAGCATTGATCGAGGCATACCGGGCTGTGCCGGTGAGAATGCGATCCTCACGATACGGTATATGTGTGTTCGTCTCCCGATCGCGATAACGCTTCGCCAAACCAAAATCAATAATATACAAGCGACTGCAATGCCGGCCCAGACCCATCAGAAAGTTATCCGGCTTGATATCGCGATGGATGAAACCCTTCTGATGCACACGCTCCACTCGCGACAACATCTGATCGCTGAGCATGAGGATCGTCTTCACGGTGAAACGGCGTTTGCATATGTTGAAGAGTGCCTCCAGCGAGGGACCCAGCAGTTCCATAACCATCGCATTGAAGTCCTTCTCGCTGCCATAGTGCAGGAGTGTTGGCAAGCCGGCATGTTGACCCATTTGCTCGTAAACCTTTGCCTCGAAACTTAATAGATGAATTTTCACATCAATGCCCTCGAGCTTGACGGCCACATCCTTGCCATCCTGCATATTGTAGCCCTGATATGTGACACCAAACGAGCCACTGCCAATTTCCCTGATCAGGCGATATTTGTTGCCCACCAAGCGATTCTCGAGCACCAAATGCGATAGATTCGCCCGGCCAGACGATTCCATCTTTTTGGTCATTATTAATTTATAAATAAATATGTTTCACTGATCTACTTTGGACCGTTTTCAATCAATTTTTGTTTTGTGATTTTGTGTGTTGACAACGCGAACTGCTTTTCTTAAAATTTTCTCAAAATCTAAATATATATTTTTGACACACGTTTTTTAATGTGAATGCTTTGTAGATCGGAGCAAAACGGAATCCAGGTTTATATGGAAAACAATCAACTATAACAGAAAAATACATTTACTTTTGATTCGGCAAGTGAGAGGAAGTCAGTTTGATTCGCTCTGCAAAAAGCACAATCCAATTGTTTGTTTATTGATAATAATAAGTTAATAAACTTCTAAAGTCAAATAGAGAAATGTGGTTTCAATTCAAATTGAAATAAAGATCAAGAAACCTTGGTTTTTGGCAGATCTGAGAAGTTTTAACTCCTTCAAGCACTTTTGTGGGCATAATTTTAACATAATAATGTTTATTATACCAAATGTAAAATCATGATCCAAAAGAAATGCTGATCTTGCTCTAGGAGGCTTAGACCCGTTTTTTGAATCCCTTCAGATGTAGCAGTAGTCGATGTGGATGCGCCATATCTTTTTAATACTGGTTTGTCATTGAAAACCACCCAAAATCCGAAAATCACTATTAAATTCAACACATCACTTTCCATTTATAATTATTCAACAATTAAGTTTGTTTTGCATTAACGCAAATAAATCATTAATTTATTTCGACAACTTTTGGACAGCTTTGACAAGCTTTAAATTAAATTCAAATAGATTAATGCGGCACATTTTGAATTGAACATTTTGTGAATTGAATCAATAGCTTAAAATTTTGCAATTAAAGCGAGTTCATAGCGAACAGCAGCCAAATGAATAAATAGTGAATGAAAGAGAAAAACACGGAAATTGAAGCATTTATAAACCGCTTAGGTTCTGAAGATAATAAAGAGTTGATGATGATGATGTTGTTTCTGTTGTTGTTGTTGTTGTTGTCGTGTTTGTATTAGTTTGCGAAATGTTTCTGGGTTGTGTGTCTGTGTGTTAAAGCTGCAATGCTGCAGCAGCCGCTGCAACAAAGAACAAAGCTCCTTAACTTCAACTAAAGGCGTGTCTGTCTGAGTGTGTACGTGAGTGTGTGTGTGTGTGTGTATTTGTGTATGTGTCTGTGTGTGTACTTGCAGGTGCATTAAATGCTATTAGGAGCGAGTCCAAGTCCAAGCATTTTCACTTGGCAAAGTCCATTGTTAATAATTTTGTAACAAAAGGCCACACTAAAACAATAACTAAGCGCGCAATAAGTAGTAAGTAAGTAGATGACAATGCCATGGGCGTGGCCGTGTGGGCGGGCAACTGGCCAAAGCCACAGTTGCTGATATATATATATATATATCTATATAACTATATATACACACAAAAGTACTTTGACCAAACCATAGAAATTGACATAAAAGAAGGAAGAAAAAAAGCTTAAGCAGAGAATGACCGACTGGGAGATGCCCTATTAAAGATGCACCAAAATATACCCAAAATATATTTGAAGTTATTCATAGTATTCTGTTATACTTATAAATAAAGAAGGTCGTTCAGTGAGTGAATATTTTGTATTAAATTAAATAGATCTCGCCTTCTACTTGATCTGATCTGATCTTGATCTGTGGAAGATATGTGGAAAAAAACATATTAAATTGGAAATATGTATATCATTGTATAAAATATTATATATCTGCTACAGAATAAATAATAAATTAATTAACTGTTTCTTTATAGCTACAAAAACCCACAGACAGACTTATTATTCTCTGGGTATTGAAGACAGGTAGCAATTAATTATATTTTTTATTATATATTTTTATTGTATATGTATATATATATATGTATAGAATTGAAGCTGTCTATTTCTGCCTACCCATTTGAGCTGTTTTTAATGTGTGTGCAGGGTATGAAAAGAAGAAAAGAAGAACTAAGAAGCAGCTAAAGAAGAAAACGACGATGTGGCAGCAAATAAAATAAAACAAATATAATGAGATTTTCTGAGGCTGTAGCCGCAGCAGCAGCAGCGGCAGCAGCAGAGGGAGCAGTGGCAGTGGCAGCGAAAGCAAAAGAAACGGGCCAAAGCCAAAGCCAAAGCCAAAGCCAAACACAAGCGTTGCATACTTATCAGCGCTGGGCAATGGTGTGGCACGAGTCGCGAAGGACGTGCACCAAAATGGCGGCGGCGGCGGCGGCCGCTATCTTTTGTCTGTGCCTGTGCATGAGTGTTATATATATATATGTGTGTGTGTGTGTGTGTGCGCGCACAACAACTAAGTTTATTTTAGTTTTAACTATTTGCCCAACACAAACGGCAAACAGCAAAAAAGCAGCAGCTGTAAAAGTGTGTTTATGTGTGTGTGTGAATGTGTTTGTTGTGTGTACATGTCAAATACTTAATGCCGCACACACACACATACACACACACTTATTTTCACTTTTCAGCAACACAAAGCGAGAGCGCACAAAGGATATTATAAATTACATACTCTGTTACATTTTTTTTATTATTATTATATTTCTCTCTCCCTCTCTCCCTCTCTCTCTCTCTCTTTTTCATTCAGTCTATTTTGCTTTCAGTGCCATTGGCAACTAAAAAAGAATAGAAAAGTTTATGTGTGTATTATTATTATTATAGTTGTTGTTATTGTTGATGCTGTTGATGTTGTAGATGTGGTTGTTGTTTTACACTAGTTTCAATTTGGTGTCGTCAAAAGGCCCTTGTTATTGTAATTGCAGCAGTTTATGTTCTTTTATGTTCTTTGCTATGCAAACTTAATTCCATTTCGCTGTTTATGTGCTTCAAGCCAAGTGCTTATGTACTTATTTCAACTTAAATATGGTACCATACAGGGTGTCCGTGGATCGCCGATTCCCTTTCGTTTTTTAGCAGCAACATTGTGTTTTTATTTTTATTATTAAATCAAAAGTGCTTCCCATTCAATGATGTTGAGTATGAAGTTATACAGGGAATATATACAGGGTGTGTGGTGGATGAAGAGTACCATAACGAAACAGGGTGAGTGATCAATGGGATGAATATTTGTATAAGCAAGGGATAGAAAGCCTGAAGAGTTCCACAGAGATAGAGCGTGATTGATTAATGAGATTAAGAATTATATGGCGATACAGGGTGTATGATGGAAGGTATGAGGACTTCTACAGCCGTACAGGGTGCTTAATGCATAAGTTGAAGAGTCCTATTGCGATAATGAATAGGATAGAGAGCTCTGCAATAATGCAGGGTGATTGATGAATGGAATTAATATATATTTATGTACACAGGGTGTGGGATTCAAAGGAAAACAAGTTCTTCAATGAGTTCTATAATGATACTGGGTGTGTAATGAAAAGAGCGAAGAATTCTACAACAAAATATATAATATAAATGGTGCTTAATGAATAGGCTGAAGAGATCTATAACGACAAAGTCTGTGTGTGTGTGTGTGAGTGTGGCAAAGGATAATTAGCTCCACAACATACGGAGTGCTATACCCTTACTTTCCTTCTGCTTTTATTTGTCCAGTACGTGACTAACCCTTTATTTCACCCGTTACAGGGTGTTAACTCCCCGTAAATTGGCTTCGTTGTAGTAGCTTTTGTTGTTTTATGGACATTGTTATTCAGCGCGTGCATCGATTTTACATTTATTAAATCAAATTTGCTATCTATTAGAGAAGCTTTGTATACAAGGTGTGTGTGTAAGGGTTAATGTGAACAATCAATCGTTGATTATTTAAAATTTAGTTAAATATTATTTGTTTATTGTTATATTATAAGTGCTTAAAGCATATCTTGTTATAAATGTGCAATACTTGTCTAGTCTACTTATTCACTTTCTATTCGTTAGCTATTCATTGACTGCACCCTCAAATTCGTTCTATTTCTTTTTGGCAACAGCTGCGGCACCCTGTTTATGGCAATCAAAGAAACAGCAGCAACAACAACAACATGGAGCAGCAGCAGCAACATCGTCAAGCACGAAAAAGTGGTCACCCCACACACACAGTCAAAAGTCTGCACGTCTGGACGCTTGGGATGAAGGGACGGACATTATTGTTGCGGCCAGCGTCGCTGCCAGCGACTGATGCTGCTGCTGCTGCTGGCAGCGACTGTACCCCGCACACAGAGACAGAGACAGACAGAGAGAGCGAGAGAGAGAGAGAGACAGAGAGATACGAAGTGAGTGTTGGAGAGAGATAGCAATCTGGAGCAGAGAGTGAGAGCAGAGAGCAGAGCAGAAGTATTTAATATGTACAGATGTACATATGGCGGCATATGGCAACATTTCTCGCGTTCACTCAATGAAGCACTCAACAACAGTAGCAGCAGCAGCAACAGCAACAGCAACAACATCAACAGCACCGACAGCAGCAGCGCAGTCGGCAGCAAAAGTTTGAAGTTTCTGTTGACGTTAGCAGGCAGTAAAATTTCATACATTTTCAAAGCACACACACACACACATACACACCACCCCAGCATCATTTGTGTAAATCTTTTTTTTTCGGCGGGGTGGTTTCTGCAGCAGAGGCAGCGGCAGCAGCAGCAGCAGCGACGGCGACAGCGACAGCAATGTTGCCGGGACTATAAAAATGGATTTTTATTATGCTGCTGCTGTTTCCACATCTCCTTTTTGTTATTGTTGTTTTTGTTATCTGTGTGGTAGCATTTTACTCTCACCTTGGGCGTAGGTAGAAGAAGCAGCATCAGCAGCAGCAGCAGAGATGCTGTTAGCACAACTTTCTCTCTGCGAGCTTTTTTTTTGGTGAGCAAAGCAAAGCTTTAAGTTTCGCCCAGGCTGCTGCAAAAGCTTCAAAGTGCGTGGGAGAGATGAAGAGAATGAGAGTAAGAGAGTGAGAGAGAGAGAGAGAGAGAGTGGGGGGAAGAGGGAGGGAGTAGTATTAGAAAGTAACATTTTATTAAATAATTGCAGACAATATGGCAAATATTTTAAGACAAGTTGTTAAATTAAATTTAAATTGAGTTTTGCTAGGAATTTTAAGATAAAGATATATAGATAAATATATATATATGTATATTTATAAATAATATATATATATATATATATATATTACAAATAACTTTCTAGCAGCATTTTAGATAATTAATATAAGTAAAATCAAAATT